TAAATTTTGAAAAACGCCTTATTTATAAACCCGATAGCCCCCCCTCTTCCCCCCGCGCCCCAGCCAGGGCATGGACAAAGAGTCATTTATGTCTTATTCCCCAAAATTTCCCACTTTTTTAATTTTTCATTTTAAATTTCTTTCCCGGGTCCCCCCCCTCCCTCCCCCTTTTATCCCTATTCCCAATTCCCACCCTCCATAACAAAATCCAGAAGAGAGAAAAAGATAACTTGAACAAAAGCTATCTTTTTCTTTTGTCATAACAAGCTCCAATGTACCCCAAAATCAAAATAACAAAAACCAAAGCCTGACGAGTAATTGTGTAGACGTTCAACACAATTATATCGAGCCCCCCCCCCCCCCCCCCCTGATATCCCACCTGTCCCAATGAATGAATTGAAATTAATTCATTCCATTTAAACTCCCACTCCTCAATTCCTTCAAGATAAGGAAATATTGATGAGTTATTTTCATCCATTTATCATCTTTGAATGCAATTCCCACGACATCAATTTATCTTCAACATAAATCCTTAATTCCAATTACCAGGATGTCTGTCAAGAACTTGAACCCAATTATTTTGAGGTGTCGCTCCAAATTGTGTAGCATTCCATGGTTGACCTGCATCACCAAATGATTGGGTAAAGTTTTCCATGTTATGAGTATTCATTGAAATACTTTCCAAATCATCAATCCATGCATCGAAAGGTAAGAGTGAAGCAGCTGAATCTCTATTCCATCCAGTTTGAGTACCTGGGGGTGCCATATTATGAGGTTGATGAGCCATTGGAGGATGATAATGACCCATTTGTTGAAGTTGACTATAATTTTGAGCTTGTCCTTGATTACTATAAGGAGAGTTAATACTTGATGCTGATTCGCCATTTCCTGGACTAATCAAGTTAGGTGAATTGGAATTTTGATTGGGACTTGGTTGATAAGCTCCGTTTGCTATGTATTGCGCACCAGTACTTTGTTGCATCTCCATAATGGTGTTATTTGAGGCATTGATTGGTGCCCAATTAGAAGGTGGTCTTGATCCTGCTCCTTCAACACCTTGCATTGGCTCGCCATTAGGATTAGGGTTAGTAGTAGTAGAACCAAGGTCGCTAGTACTACATCGAGAGCGGTTGTTTGGATAATCATCGGAATGAGAGTCACCTCCGGCAGTATCTTCAAGGCTACCGAATTCCTTCAAATCTTTTTCGAATCCCTTCCACTCATCTAATCCGCCACCTTTCCATGAAACATCCTTCTTATACCTCCTGAATTCATTCTTTACCGCCTTGTAATATCTCATCATCAGCTCAATCCTTTTGTGGTAAGCTCTTGCCATGGTCAACCTCGGAACCATATCTTTTAGGATCTTGATAGGTAAGGCGGATCGACTTTCACCCATATAATCATTTGGATCCATTTGTGGGAAATGGACTGAGTAAACACCGGTAAACGCTGCATGGAAGAGGGCGAAAACAAACAATGGTGATTCGGGTAAAGCGTTATTGTCCTGGCAAGTCCTCATGATATCAACAATGTCCCTTGCCGATGAGAAAAGTGAATCGGCACTCTGTTCCCAAAATCCTTCTGGTATATCGAATTTGTCTTTTGGGAATGTTGGTTCATCCAAAGGACCAGAAGGTTTATCAGCCCGAAGAGGGATGAAAGGTATGTATTCCCTGTGAAGCATGATTCGACATAAAGATACGAGTGTATGCAAACTTGCATATGTGGTCGCATTTCGTTTTTCCAAATGTGCATTTAAGTTGTCCTCGGAAAAGATAAGATTCTCCGGTAAACCACTATAGAACTCTTCCAATTCATGGGAAAGTTTATAGAACTGTGTGGATTCATCCCATGGAGGCAAAGTTTCCGTTCGGCGACCTCCGTGAAGACTCCACTTTGAAAGTTTACCCCAAATTTCTACCAAACGACAATACCTGCTGAGCACACCACCTTCTTGAACGTTGGTATTGGTCATGGTAACTTTCTCAAAATCTCGATTCAGGTAACCTGTTTGAACGGATTGAGTGAATAAGAATTGATCATCAGAACAAGGTAATTGTACTCGTAGAGTCTCAGACTCAACCATGGTAGGTCTGGCCTTTCCAGCGGAAAGCATACGATCCATGATAAAACAACTCCAAAAAGTACGTCTTCTCACTTCCTTCTCGATCGCAGTATCACGTGCTGGGTGCTTGTTCACCTCGGGTCTGTATGAACTAGCAGTGACTACGGTCTCAGACTTGAAAGTTCTAGCTGATGGATCATCCTCGTAAGGTAGACCCATTGCTTGTGCTAGCCTAGTCGCAATACCGACGTAAACCCAAGCGCTAAGACCTCTAGTTTGACCCCACTCGTAGAGACCAAGCATCAAGAGCGCCTGGATCCGTTCAGTTGTAGGGGTGCTTAGATCTCGGCCTCCAGCTCCGAATATGGTCGAGGTTAAAGCGGTGGCATAGTAATCGCTTGCAGCCAATGGGTCGTTTGGCCGAGGGGAATTCGCTGGTGCATGGTATGCGATTAATTCGGGATGGAATCGGGCGGTAAGTGTAAGTACACCTAACAATAGAATCTTAGCATCTTGGAAAGCGGGAACGTCGGCGAGTGTTGAAAGATCTCGTGGGTGAGATGCTTGGCGCATGCGATTTCGAAAAGATGGAGGGTGGAGGAAAGGGCATCTCGGTTGAGAAGTTTTAGCTTGAATATATCATACACCTCATCTCACACCTTTCTTGTCAATATTGTGGGCCTCCAAAGGGTCCTCTCCTTGTCGTTGACTATTCCTGCGACCAAGAATCTTCATGCTTTCGAACTCGCCTTTTTAACTGTTCGCTTTCTCCTTTCAACCCTTATTCCCATGGGTGGAATCGGCTC